ATAAAATGGGGCTGGGGCTCTGGATGCCTCTCCTGCAGAGTTCCTGTCAAGATTACATGTGAGCACATCTACTCAACACCGAAGATATAAGCTAGCTGTTATCCTTTTTAAAAAGTCATCAGGAAAATTTTTATTTTCCACCTCACAGATTTCCTACTAGAATGTGCTATCCTGAAATATGTCTAAAGGTCAAAATTTGAAAAACAGAAAGAAAGGAAAAGAAACTCAGCAAAGTCCAGCATCATGACTTGGCAGTGTCCCCAGTGGCCAGGTCCAAAGGACCACCCAGAGAGGTGTTGTCAGACCATTGTAAGTAGTGTGAGTGCAATTTAGGATGTACACACACACAGACACATGTACACACACACAAATACAAATACAGACACACATATATCTGCAGTTTTACTGCCACACATAAACACACATGCAAGCACACACTAATATCTAGTCACACTTCTAGCCCCCCCACTCACACACATGAATACACACACTTAACACTTACAGGGCCAAACTCACACACAGATACATAGACGTACACTTAACTACAGAGCTACATACACACGACAGTCACAAACATAATCGCATACACATTTGCACACATACATTCACACACATCCACATCTACTAACACACATGCATGCAAGTATACATAAACACCTGTACACCTGCTCACATAGCACTACACACACTTGCACACAAATACACATAGTCTCACACACCCATGTACTAACACACTCATAGACACGCATGTGCACAAACACACGCACAATCTCACACACGTCTTCACACACAGAAATAACAGCTATACATACATCCCATACAGTCACATGAGCACACATAAAAACATACATACGTGTACTCAGGCTATCTCAATACACAGCTATGCACTTCACACAGGCACACACATTATTACAACAACATGTTTTCTTTTCTTTTCAGCCCTTATTTATTCACTCAGCTATTTACTGAGTACTTACTGTGTGCTAGCTACTGTTAAAAGTCCTTGAGCTAACTCATTGAACAAAATGGACAAAAAAAAAAAAATCTGTCTTCATGAAGCTTAGATTCTAATGGAAGGAGAGAGAGGCAAAAATAGTAAGTAGATAGCTCAGCAGGTAGTGAGTATTAGGGAAAATAGTGCCTAGTAATGAGGAGGAAGAGGAAGAAAAACCAACTTGGAGAGGGGTGCCGTTTTAAGAAGGTGGTCAAGGTAAGCTTCATTTAGAAGCTGACAAAAATATTTAGCAAAGAAATCAAGCAGGAGGGGGAGTTATACATGCAGATATCTGTGAGAAATCAGTCTCAGAAGAGGAAACAGCAAGTGCAGATACTCTAAGGCAGAGGTGTGCCTTCAAGGAACAGGAAGAAAGCCAGCGTAACTGATGTGCAGTGAGTAAGAGGTAAAGGAACAGGACTTCAAACCAGAGATGAAAAGAGTGTGTGAAGATCATACAGGACCTTGAAAATTAAGTTAAAAACTCTGATGTTAGTTTTGCAGGACACTGAGATTCACTGGGTTCTGAGCAGAGCTGTGACATGATCTGACCTCTGACTTACGCTTCACAGTATTTAATATGAACGTAATCATTTTACATGTTATTCTTTGTCTCATTTCTGAACAGGAATGAATCTGGCATGGTCACTTCTGTGTCTACCTGAGAGTAGCACTCAGTCAATATTTGTTGACTAACTGATAAGGACAGACGTTTCTGAGGAGAAAAGTGTTCTGGGGTGCTCCAGTTTGGATGTTTGCTCCCAACAAACCTCATGTTGAAATTTGAGGTGGAGCCTAACAGCTGTTTGAATCATAAGGAAGGATCCCTCATGAATAGATGAATGACCTCCCTTGGGAGTGACTGAGTCCAATCCTATTATTTCCCACAAGAGCTGGTTGTTGCAAAGAGCCTGACAATTCCCCACTGTCTCTTTTGCTTCATCTCTCACCATGTCATCCATGCACACACCAGCTCCCTTTCACCTCTTACCATAAATAGAAGCATCCTGAGGCTCTTGCCAGATGCAGATGCTCAATCTTGAAATTTCCAGCCATCAGAATCACAGGCCTCATAAACATTTTGCAAATAAATTACCCAACCTCAGATATATATATATTTTGAGACAGAGTCTCGCTCCATCGCCAGGCACCAGACTGGAGTGATGTGGCGCGATCTTGGCTTACTGCAACCTCCACCTTCTGGGTTCAAGCAATTCTCCTGCCTCAGCCTCCCAAGTAGCTGGGACTACAGGCGTGCGCCCTCAGGCCCAACTAATTTTTGTATTTTCAGTAGAGACGGGGTTTTACCGTGTTGGCCAGGATGATCTCAATCTCTTGACCTTGTGATCCACCCGCCTCGGCCTCCCAAAGTGCTGGGATTACAGGTGTGAGCCACCATGTCCGGCCTCAGATATTTCTTTATAGCAACAAAAAATGGGCTAAAACAGAAAATTGGTGCCAGGGAGTAGGGTGTTCTGTAAAGATACCTGAAAATGTGGAAGCAGCTTTGGAACTGAACAATGAAAAGCGATTGGAAGAATTTGGAGGGCTCAGAAGAAGAGAAAGAGTTGAGGGAAAGTCTGGAATGTCTTAGAGATTGGTTAAATGGTTGTGACCCAAAATACTGTCAACCTAAAATAATCGGAAGACTCGGTATCTAGTTAAAAGAACTCATTCAAGCACAGAGTATGTGTGCAGCCATCCAAGGAGCACAGCTACCCCTGCGAATGGTGAACAGTGCTCTTGGTGTAGGGGAAAATGAGGATTGCTTATACTGGCAAAATGAAGTTGCTGAACAAAATTACAACATTTTGATTTGATTGGTGGCCAGGAGTGATGATTCACGCCTGTAATCCTAGCACTTTGGTAAACTGAGGCAGGCAGATTGCCTGAGCTCAGGAGTTCGAGACCAGCCTGGGCAACATGGCGAAACACTGTTTCGACTAAAAAAATACAAAACATTAGCTGGGCATGGCAGCGAGCACCTGTAGTCCCAGCTACTTGGGAGGCTGAAGCAGAAGAATTGCTTAAACCTGGGAGGCAGAGGTTGCAGTGATCTGAGATCATGCCACTGCCCTCCAGCCTGGGCGACAAAGCGAGACTCAGTCTCTGAGAAAAGAAAAAAAAGTTTTGATTGGCTACTTTTTGATTACACTCTAAGGGGAAAGTTTAACATCCTGTTAAAAGGAGACAGTTACAAAGGCACAAAGGTCTCTATCTTCGTGCTGTTTAGCTCAGGTTTGAATAAAGACGAGTCCAGTTAATGTAAAACATCTCAACACAAAGGTCAGAAAGCAACAGTCATGCACCAGAGTCAGGGGAACTTGTGTTACGTAAGTCAACTTGCAGGGCTTAAATTTTCCCTTGTGTATGATAAATCTGGAAGGTCCTAAATTTTATTTATTTTACTTATTTGTTTATTTAGTTATGTATATATTTATTATTTATTTATTTATTTGAGATGGTGTTTCCTTCTTGTTGCCCAGGCTGGAATGCAATGGTGCGGTCTCGGCTCACCGCATCCTCCACCTCCCAAGTTCAAGTGCCTCAGCCTCCCGGGTAGCTAGAATTACAGGCATGCACCACAATGCCTGGCTAATTTTTTGTATTTTTAGTAAAGATGAAGTGTCCATGTTGGTCAGGCTAGTCTCAAACTCCTGACCTCAGGTTATCTGCCTGCCTTGGCCTCCCAAAGTCCTGGGATTATAGGCATGAGCCACTGCCCCGGCCCTAAATTTTATTTTTTTTACAACGATGATAGAAATATAGACAGTACAGGCCATGCTGAAAAGTCATAGAAAGGGGAACTGGAGCAAAGTTCACCCATGCTACTCTGTAGCAAAGAGCTCAGGTGCACTGTGCTCGTGCCCTAAGGCTTTGTGGAAAGCTGAACTAAGAGTGATGACTTATGATGTATGGTGGAAGAGATGTCTAAGCAGCGAAGTGTTCAAGAAGTGTTCGTGGTTGCTTTTAACAGCTTATGCTAAATCTTCACAGCAAAGTAATGACCTAAAGTCTGCATTTATAAAGGGGAAGAAGAGCATTAAAATTTGGAAAATTCTTCACCTGAACATAGTGGTAGAGAAGAAAAGAGAATTTTCAGGAGAGGAGTCCAAGGATGTGTCAGAACAAAATTTGCTAAAGCACGACTAAAAGGGGGCCTGGTGCTAATAAGATAATAGAAAGTTCCAAAGGTATGTTAGAAACCTTTGACGCTGCTCCTCCCATCACTGGCCAAGAGACCAAGAAAGACAGGATGGTTTTATTCTACTGCTTCCTTGCACCACCTCAGGATGCTGCTCTCTGAATCCAGGCTGCTCCAGACTAACCATGGCTCAAATGACCCCCAAGCACTGCTCAAGCAACTGCTCTAGAGAATGCCAGCCATAAAGTTTGGCAGTGTCGACATGGTTTTCATTCTGCAGGCACCCAGAATGTAGGAGCCGTAGATGCTTGCTGGCTTCCCTAACTTTCGGAGGATGTATTGGAAAGTCGGGATGCACAGGCACAAAATATGGGGCTAGATCCTCTACAAAGATTTCCCACTAGGGAAATGCCTCATGAAGCCATGGAAGTGGGGCCACCTTCAAGACACAGAACTGTAGGATCACCAATTTGCAACTCTAGCCTGAGAGAGCTGAAGCATGGGCTGAGACCAGCTCTAAGACAATGTTGGCCAGGCATGATGTCTCATACCTGTAATCTTTGGGAGGCCAAGATGAGAGGATCACTTAAGTTCAGGAGTTTGAGAACAGCCTGGACAACATAGTGAGGCCCAGTCTCTACAAAACATTAAAAAATTAGCTGGGTATAATGGCATGTGCCTGTAATCCCAGATGCTCAGGAAGCTGAGGTGGGATGGTTGCTTGAGCCTGATAGTTAGAGGCTGCAATAAGCTGTGATCACACTACTGCACTCCAGCCTGGGCAACAGAGACACCCTGTTTCAAAATAAAGTAAATATAAAGAGACATAAAGAGTTGTTTTTCCCTGTTGAGTTTTGGACTTAGGACAGTGTTGGGATGGAACAGGGCAGAGAATGCATCAGACTCTGAGCATAGCCTGAAGGGGGATCTGATGGCTTTTTCACATCCATGTATGAAAGAAAAGAGTGAGGGAAGTCTCCAAGATTTGATGATGGAAGAACTTGAAGAATAGGAGCGTCATTTGCTGAGATGGATAAAACCATACCTGGAATGGGAGAGGACAGGGAAGGATGAGATCGACAAAGTATGTTTGAGATCCCTGTTAAACAGCCAGGTGAAGTCAAGCAGATGAGGACACAGGAGAGAAATCCAGGTTGGAGACACACATGTGGGGGCCATTGGCAAGCCACATGGTATCCAAGCTATGACAGTTGTTGAGATAATGTACAGAGTGAACATGGATAAAGATGAGGAGGAATAAGCAAAAGAGATGGAAAACAAGAGGAAAACCAGGCAAAAGTGGTATGCTGGGACCAAGCAAAGCAAAGAATTAAAAGAGCGTTCATCAAGCCCATGTGAGCTCCATTTCTCTCTGCTTGGCTGAAGCAACAATTTTCTGTCACTCCTGGGCATAAACCTGCCTCATGCCCCTTGGACTGAAAGTGCAAATCGAGTTGGCCTCAAATGCTTTAGTGTTGTAAAGTCCATCAACTTAGCTAGGAGGATTGATGTTACCCTTGGTAAGCCTCCAAAGTTACCCACTGTCAATAATTAGCTGATTCTGATTGGAGATTCTGAAGCTGTCTGCCTGAGTTATGTGCTCTCTTCCAAGGCTGTAGGAATTCTGGAGCTGCTGGTTGGAGAGGAGGGTGGATCAAGCTCTCCCTAGAAAGACATCCTGAGAGGAATTGGCAGGTAAGGACTGTTTTAAGGAATGGGCTGATGGGGTCATAATCCACGATAACCTCACTAATCTTTCAGAATCATGGCTAGTGAGTGGAGCAAAAATCCCCACAGAAACGCAGAAATTCCTAGGGGCTGTGAAAGAGAGTACCTGTCAAGTCTTAGTGAGGAGGCAACACTAGGCAGAGGAAAATGCACCTTTATCACAGTAATAGGGAGGGATATGGGCAGCTAGAAAAAGGTGGTCACAGGGGGCTGGGAGTTGCGTGGTAGTCAGAGAAAGATGCATCTTAGAGGTGAGGCCAGAAGAATGAGGAAGAGACTACTATGGAAAAAGAAAGGGACCAGCAGGTACAAAAGCAATATGCAGTTCTGCTCAGGAGTTGGTATGGAAATCTTCAATTCTTATTCTATTCTATAAAAAAGTAGGAGACACAAGTATCAGATACAGTGATGGTTAATATTGAGTGTCAATTTGATTAAATTGAAGGATACAAAGTATTGATTGAATTGAAGGATACAAAGTATTGATCCTGGGTGTGTCTGTGAGAGTGTTGCCAAAAGTGATTAGCATTTGAGTCAGTGGACTGGGAAAGGCAGACCCACCCTTAATCTGGGTGGGCATCATCTAATCAGCTGCCAGCAAGGCTAGAATATAAGCAGGTAGAAAAATGTGAAGAGAGACCGGCATAGCCTTCCAGCCTATATCTTTCTCCCATGCTGGATGCTTCCTGTCCTAAAACATTAGACTCCAAGTTCTTTCATTTTGGAAGTCAGACTGGCTCTCTTTGCTCCTCAGCCTGCAGACAGCCTATTGAGGGACCTCGTGGGACTTTGCAATTTTGAGAGTTAGTATTTAATAAATATTAACTATATATATGAGTTATTAACTATATATATGAGTTTATATATATATAATATATAGATATATTTATACAAGGTATCTGAAAAATATATGAAATATATTTCATACATATATTTTCCATTAGTTCTGTTCCTCTAGGGAACCCCAAATAATACAGATACCTTGAGCATTGTGGCTGTTACTTTCTAGTTAAATAAATAAATAAATAAATAAAATAAAATACAGCGTTGGAAATCCAGCCCATTTGCTTGAACACTGGCTGGATTCTTTAAATCAAAAGTCATTAAAGATTATTAGAAAGTCAAGATGGCAGTTAGGAGGCAAAAGTAGCTGGCAGCCTCAGCTTAGATGGACAGAACTGCATGTGGAGACTCACACTGTGAACTTTTGCTCCAGAACTACTGCAGGAATATACCAGGAAAATAAAATAAAATAAGTATAAAAAGATAGTAAAAAGATTCTGAGAGGATCCACAGACCCTTTAAAGGAAGTGGATTGTTTGCAGGACTTGGGAGAGAGCCCAAATACTGTGAGTGCCCAAGCTGTGACAGTGGGAAAGGAGAATTGCCTGCCCCCAAACACACACCCTCACTGGGAAACCTGAAGGTCTAGGTCACAGGAGAAGGATTTGACCTTAGGTCGAGCTGAGTCAATTTAGAGAGCTGAGTGAAATACAGGGGTGGATGAAGCACTGGGAAAAGTCCTATGGGCTCTTTGGGTCCCAAGAAAAGCCAGTTTTGACTTGTTTCGCAGGGGGCCTTGAGGAGGGTTGTCAGAGGAACTGAGAAAAGACCTCCAGCTAAACTTTGTAACCATTCCAAACAAACACTGTCTTCTGGCCAGAAATTGGGGGAGGACATGAATCCAGTATGCAGACCGGACAGGCAGGGAAGCAAGCATGAAAGTCTTGGTTGCTTTCTCAGCTAGGAGGCTGGTAGCCTGGAACAAGTTCACAGCCCTACTCACGTCCTGCCTGGAAACAAACTGTGCTGTTGGATGGGGTCACTGTGGGAGTGAGCCTGGCCTTTTGGGTTGCTTGGGAGCTGGGTGAGGCCTGTACTACTAGCTTTCCCCCACACCCCTGACAACCTGCATGACACGGCAGAGGCAGCTGTAATCCTCCTGGGAACAGCTATAATCCTCCTGGGAACATAATTCCATTGACCTGGGAACCACACCCACATCCCCCACAGCAGCCACAGCAAGCTCCACTCAAGAAAATTCTGATCTCAGACATGCCTTACTCTGCCCCTACCTGATGGTCCTTCCCTGCCCTCTCTGGTAGCTGAAAATAGAGTCCTCATAGCCAAAGCAAGACTACACAAAATGCACAAATCTGGAGACATCACATTACCTGATTTCAGAAATACACTATAAGGCCATAGTCACCAAAACAGCATGGTACTGGTATAAAAATAGACGCACAGAACCATGGAACAGAATAGAGAACCCAGAAATAAACCCAAACACTTACAGTCAACTGATCTTCAACAGAGCAAACAGAAACATAAAGTGAGGAAAGGACACCCTATTCAAGGAATGGTGCTGAGATAATTGGCAAGTCACATGTAGGAGAATGAACCTGGATCTTCATCTCTTACCTTATACAAAAATCAAGTCAAGAAGGATCAAGGACTTAAATCTAAGACCTGAAACTATAAAAATTCGGGAAGATAACATCAGAAAAACTCTTCTAGACATTGGGTTATGCAAAGATTTTATGACCAAGAACCCAAAAGCAAATGCAAGAGAAACAAAGATAAATAAGTGAGACTTAATTAAACTAAAGAGCTTTTGCAGCACAAAAGGAACAGTCAGCAGAGTAAATAGACAACTCACAGAGCGGGAGAAAATCTTCACAATCTGTGCATCTGACAAAGGACTAATATTCAGAATCTACAAGTAACTCAAACAAATTAGCAAGAAAAAAAAATCCCATAAAAAAGTGGGCTAAGGACATAAATAGACAATTTTCAAAAGAAGATCCAACACAAATATGAAAAAATGCTCAGCATCACTAGTAATCAGGAAAATGCAAATCAAAACCACAATGTGATACCATCTTACTCTTGCAAGAATGGCCATAATCAAAAAATCAAAAAATAACAGATGTTGCAGTGGATGTGGTGAAAAGGAAACACTTCTATACTGCTGGTGGGAATGTAAACTGGTACAACCAGTATGGAAAATAGTGTGGAGATTCCTCAAAGAACTAAAAGTAGAACTGTCCAGCAATCCCACTACTGAGTATCTACCCAGAGGAAAAGAAGTCATTACATGAAAGAAGTCATTACATATGCATGTTTATAGCAGAACAATTCGCAATTGCAAAAATATAGAACCAGCCCAAATGCCTGTCAGTCTGTGGTGTGTGTGTGTGTGTGTGTGTGTGTGTGTGTGTACATATACATACATATATATGGATACTACTCAGCCATAGAAAGGAATGACTTAATGGCATTCACAGCAGCCTGGATAGGATGGGAGGCTATTATTCAAAGTAAAGTAACTCAGGAATGGAAAACCAAACATCATATGTTCTCACCCATAAGTGGGAGCTAAGCTATAAATTGCAAAGGCATAAGAATGATACAAAGGTGTATGATAGAATATGTTAGGAAGAATAAAAAAAAGAAAAAGAAAGGTAGAATGATACACAGAACTTTGGGGACTTGGGGGAAAAGATGGGAAAGAGCTGAGGGATAAAAGGTTAAAAAATGGGTTAAGTGTATACTACTTGGGTGATGGGTGCACAAAACTCTTAAATTACCAGTAAAGAACTTCCTCGTGTAACCAAATACCACCTGTTTTCCAAAAGCCTATGGAAATAAATTTTCTTAAAAAAAAAAAGCCATTAGACATAAATTCTACAACCTCTTCATGGTACCTTGGGTGTAACTCAAAGACCAGCCTGCACAGCCTTGGAACTACCTCCTTGGAATAAATTATATGGAAACAACAATTATAACACCTACAATTTCTAAAGTGATTGTATTAGGCCCTGTGCACTAAATGCATAAGACCTAGGATTTAGGATGTTTATCAGTCCAGATTGAATTTAAAGAAAATGATGCTACTTGTATTAATTAGCATTTGCTACAGTAACAAACACCCTATACATCTCAGTAGCTTTTAGTCATACACATTTTCCCCTTATGGGTCTGTGTGTTGTCAGTGGCCATGCTAGGCTCAGCTCAACTCCACATTTTTGGTTGTTCATGGTCCCATTCTGATAGTACAGCACTGATATGCATTGTGCAAGTCTCACACAGAGGGGAGAAATGTGAGTTTCTGATGAACCATACAATCCCAGACACTCACATCTCATTGACTGAAGCATATCCCATGAGCAAGCCAAAATCAATGAGAAGTAGATACATATTCTTCCTCCTTAATGTGCTGGGAAGTCACATACAAATGAATGGGGAGGTATAATGCTAGAACAGGAATGGAGTGAATTTCTGGGAACTACAATCCAATATATGACCCACTGTATTTTAAGCACAAGGGGATTTACTATATGGAATGGGGTGTTCACAAAACTGTCAGAAGTGTCGAAGATGTAGGATCTGGGACTTTTTCTGTATCCTCTCGTGCCTATAGAAAACAGCACCCCACAAGGACACTGAAACAGATGGTGAGTGCCAATTTATTCATAATCACAGCAAATTAATTCCTGGGAAGAATTCAATAAGGTTTGGATGAATCTCCTGAAGCCGCTGATGATCAGTAGAGTAATCTGTTAAAGAAGCTCTCACCTGTGTCTCTTCTTCCTTTTACAGGTCTGAACATGTATTGGCTGCGAAAACTTCAGAGACTTTGCACCCTGTGGGGTACTCAGATGCCCAGCCACACTCTCCACATTAATAATAGGAAACTGGTGTCTGTGCAGTGGGGCCACCAGGAAGCTCCACCCACGTTTAACTTCGCTAGAGATGTGATGGATCACTGGGCTGAGATGGAGAAGGTAAGTGGGGAGGAAAAGAGGCACAGAGTGAGAAGATTTGGTTGACTTTTAAAATTCATCCATTAATTTAGTAAATATTTGTTAAGCATTTATCATATGTCAGGCACTGTAATAAGTTATGGACCAGACATTCATCTTCCATGAAGACAGCATGATATGGGAGAGAGATACCATGAGCTTGGAAGGAAGAAAGGCACAGGAGTGTGGCGACCTGGTAACTTCCAGGCAGCCAACACACAGTTTGTTTACATTGTAAGGAGACTGCATATGCTCTGTTGTGACCTTCCAGGGTGAAATGAGGACTAGTGGTCTGGGGTCATAGAAGAGGTGGGTTTGAATCTAATAATAGCAAATCAAGCCTGGGCAACACAGTAAGACTCTGTCTCTACCAAAAATAATTAAAAAAAAAAAATTAGCTAGGTATGGTGCTCCACACCTGCAGTCCTAGCTACTCAGGAAGCTGAGGTGGGAAGACTGTTTGAGCCCAGGAGTTTGAGGCTGCAGTGAGCTATGATAACACCACCACACTCCACAGAGTGAGATTCTGTCTCAAAAAAGTGGTGGGGGCGGGGTGGGCAAATCAGCACTGATCAAAGACTGAGTCTTCCCAGGAAGTTAGGTAACATGTCCCTCTCATTAGAGGAGTGCAAGTAAGATAGCTACTAGGCAACAATTATCAAAAGGGCTCCAATATGAGACATCCAAGACAGAAAAAGATGAAGAAAATTCTGAGTTTCCTTTCCAGCCCTGAGCTGCTAAAATTTTAATCCATTCATAGCTGATCCATCAATTGTCTTCATCCGAAGTCCTGTGACTCTTTCTATAGGATTGAAGGATTCATTCTGGCTAGGTGTACGGGAAGGGGTGGAGCTACCAGCATGGGCTTGACACATTGGTACTCAAAAAGAGTCATGATTATGACATGATGTCCTGAGTTCCCAACACTATGAAACAGCCTTAGTGTGGAGATTGCAAATGCCTTGCCCCTAGGCTGAAGACGGCCCTAGGTTCAGGTACACTTTTTTTTTTTTTTTTGAGACAGTTTCGCTCTTGTTACCCAGGCTGGAATGCGCGATCTCAGCTCACCGCAACCTCCATCTCCTGGGTTCAAGCAATTCTCCTGCCTACAACCTCCCGAGTAGCTGGGACTACAGGCATGCGCCACCATGCCCAGCTAATTTTTGTACTTTTAGTAGAGACGGGGTTTCACCATTTTGACCAGGATGGTCTCGATCTCTTGACCTTGTGATCCACCCACCTCAGCCTCCCAAAGTGCTGGGATTATAGGCGTGAGCCACTGCACCCGGCCGGTTCAGGTACTCTTAAAAAAAACTAGGTCAACATTTTAAAATTGAAAATTTTCAAATAAAAATGTAGATTTCTGGATTTTTTAGAAAAAGTTGTGCTTCCTTTAAATATTGAGGAAGCCCCTTCCTGCTATGACTCACCATTCTGAATTCATAAAAGTAGCTTGCTGTATAAACATCAAAAAACCTCTCCATTCACAAATAACACCGTTAGCAAAATCAATGACTAATGACAATTGTGGGGAAAATATTCAACTTATATGACAGCAAAAAGTTAAAAATATAAAATGAGCTTGTAGAAACCAAGAATAAAAGGGTGCAACTCAATATAAAAGTGGGCAAAGTATATGAACAGACAGGTCACCAAAAAAGGGAACTCAAATGGCCATTAAACATAAAAAAACTCACCCTCCCTCATAATAAAAGTAATGCAAGTGAAGATTTTGCCAAAATAACATTTTTGTACCTATCTTGTTAGTTAAATAAAAAAGGTTGCTTTTTTTCTTCAGAAAACAAATTTAATTATCACAAAGCATCGTAGTGGAAGGATGAGAGATAATTCTCAAATCTGCCCCCTCGAAAGCTCAGAGCCTATGGTTTTCAAAAGACGATTTGGTGGGCGGGGGGCTAAAGAACTGGTGCTACTGATTGGTTGGGAATGAAATCATAGAAGTGTGAGAAATGTCTTCCAGTGCTGAGTCTGTTTCTGGGTGAGGCAGTCACAGGACTGGTAAACTGAGTTCCTTGCTAAGAGTCATGAGTCTAGGTAGTTTGCCAGAATGCAAATCTCTAAAAAATATCTCACAGGCCAGTCTTCTATTTTACAATAGTGATGTTATCTATAGGAGCAATTGGTGAATTTACAAATTGTGTGACTTCTGGTACATGACTCCTAAGCAGTAAGCAAGCTAGGGAACAATGGATGGTTATCCCTTAACTATGCTTATAGCTTAGCAGAGTTGAAGCCCCTACCATCTACCATAATTCTAATCCTTTGGAATTGCATTAATTTTACAAAGAGGTTTAGATCCCTGAACAAGAAGGGAGTTGGTTTCAGGAAGGGACATTTATCATCCTTGCTTTAAAGTTAAATTATAAACTAAATTCCTCCCATAGTTAGCTTGGGAGCAATGAGCAAGGACAAAATACAAAAGTTTAACAACTCTATTGGCAAGGCTGTGAGGAAACAGACACTTTCATGTGTTGCCACAAAGTGGTAGAACTCTGATGGAGGCAAATTCTGAAATATCTAATAAAATTGCCAGCGTGTTTTCTCTTTGATTTTGCATCATTACTCTCAAACCATGATCTGGGAACCCCTGAGAATACATGAGTCTCTTTTAGGGAATATGTGAAGAGTCTATTTTACAATAAAACAGAGAAATTAGAACCCTCATGCATCATGATAGATATGTAAAATGTTACAGCTATTATGGACAACAATATGACATTTTCTCAAAAAATTAAAAATAGAATTACCATTCAGCAATTCCCACTCTGGGTATACACCCATAAAAACTAAAATCAGTCTCCAAGAAACACATGCACGCACATTTTTACAGTAGCTTAATTCACAGTAGCTGGAAGGTCAAACAGCCCAAATATCTACCAACAAATAGATTAAAAAATCTGTTAAAGAGAGATTATTCTATTTTTCAAGGTGAGAAGGACATCAGAATTGGGAGGTCAGGAACAAAGTGATATAGTTTGGATACATGTTTTCTCCAAACCTCATGTTGAAATGTAATCCACAGTGTTGGAGGTGGGGGCTGGTTGAAGATGTTTGGATCATAGTGGGAGGTCCCACACAGATGACTTAGCACTTATATCCCTTGGTTATAAGTGACTTCATGAGAGATCTGTTTGTTTAAATATATGTGGAATTCCCCATGCTCTCTCTCTCTCACTCCTGCTCTTGCTATTTGGTGCACCTGCTCCCCCTTCACCTTCTTCCATGATTGTAATCTTCCTGAGGCCGTCACCATGCTTCCTGTACACCCTGCATAACTGTGAGCCCATTAAACTTTTCTCTTTATAAATTACCCAGTGTCAAATGTTCCTTTATAGCAATGCAAGAACTGCCTAATACAGTACATTATATAAATGAAATCATATAGTATTTGTTCTTTTGTGTCTGGCTTATTTCACTTAGCATGTCTTCAAGGTTTATCCATGTTGTAACACAGGTCAGAATTTCCTTCCTTTAAAAGCTGAAATAATATTCCATTGCTATATATATATATATATGTCTAATCCATCCATTATTTATCTATTCTTGTAGGTCAAATCTTTATTTTTCTTTCTTTTTTTTTTTTTTGACAGAGTCTTGCTCTGTCACCAGGCTGGAGTGCAGTGGTGTGATCTCGGCTCACTGCAACCTCTACCCTTCTGGTGCAAGAGATCCCCTGCCTCAGCCTCCCACACACCTGAGATTATAGGTGCATGCCACCACGCCCAGCTAGTGTTTTGTATTTTAGTAGAGATGGGATTTCACCATATTGGTGAGGATGGTCTCGATTTTCTGACCTTCTGATCTATCCGCCTTGGCCTCCCAAAGTGCTGGCATTGCAGGCATGAGCCACCATGCTCAGCCCCAGGTCAAATATTGAATACTTTGTTGCTTAAAAATTTCTTCTGTCAGATTCCCTAAGTAATTTCTCTTAAGTTGAAACTTCCACATATCCCTAGGCTATGAAAACAATGCAGTCAAGTTAATTGCTAAAGTATAGGAAAGGGGACCTTTACTTTAGTTCCCAATAAGTTCCTTGTTTCCATTTGAAATTTGGTCAGCCTGGATTTCTCTGTCCATATTTCTATTAGCATTTTGGTCACAACTATTTAACCAGTATCTAAGATGTTCCAACTTTTTCTCATCTTTCTGTCTTCTCTTAAGCCCTCCAAACTCTTCAATTTTTTTCTCATGACCAAGTTCCAGAGTTACCTCTACATTTTCAGATATCTTTATAGCAATATCCCACTCCTGGTACCAATTTTCTGTACCAGACTGTTCTTGTGTTGCTGTAAAGGAATACCTGAGACCATGTAATTTATAAAGAAAAGAGGTTTAATTGGCCCACAGTTCTGCACAATGTATAGGAAGTGTGGCGCTGGCTTCTGCTTCTGATGCGGCCCACAAGAAGTTTACAATCATGGTGGAAGATGAATAAAGAGGAGGCACAACAAATGGCAAGATTAGGAGCAAGAAAAAAGAGTGAGAAGAGAGTGAGAAGGTGCCACTAACTTCTAAACAACTAGATCTCATGTAAACTCATTTATCACGTAGGGGATGGTGCCAAGCCATTCATGAGGGACCTGCCCCCATGATCCAATCACCTCCCAACAAGCCCCACCTCTGACACTAGGGATTGCATTTCAACATGAGACTTGGAAAGAACAAATATTCAAACGATATCATGTATCTAGAATAGTCAGATTTATAGAGACAGAAAGTAGAATGGTGTTTATCGGGGCCTAAGGGGAGACAGGATAAGGGGTGATTGTGTAATGGGGACAGAGTTTTTGTTTTGGATGATGAGAAAGTTCTAGAGATGATGGCTGGTAACAGTTGCATAACAATGAGAATGTGCTTAATGTCACTAAACTATACACTTAAAAATAGTTAAAATTGGAAACGTTATGTGTATTTTTACCACACAATTTAAAAAATAAGTAAATAGACAGAGATAAATATATAAATAAATCTAAAGTGATATTTGCCTTTTTATTCTCATTCTTTCACAAGTATACAATAGCATTTTCCAGAAGGTACGTGTTGGCACTCACAACAGAGTGAGTGCAGAAGCAGGTGAGAGGATCTGATGTTATTCTATGACATTAAAGTGAATTGCAGAATAAATAAATAAACTAATTCCACTTTCCTCATTTCTCTATTTTGAAAAGTATGCTTTCTTTATCATTATAAAAAAGTATGCATGCTAATATATAATGGGTTTATTACTGTTATTTCTAAAAGCATACATTTATAAAAATTCTGTTTTAATATCTACTATGGTAAATATTGATAGATATCACTCATATAAATAACAACTCTTTAGGGTTCTCAATCTTTTTTAAGACTGTATGGAGGTGCTGAGATTTAAAAAGCTTACTAAGCACTGACTTGGCAATCCCAAGACTCAGAATTTATTCTACCTGCTTGTGTACCAGTGCCACCTAATCAGCAGGGCTTCTCTTCCCTCAGGTTGGCAAGCGACCCCCAGGCCCAGCCCTGTGGTGGATAAGTGGGAATGGAAAGGAAGTGATGTGGAACTTCAGAGAACTGAGTGAAATCAGCCAGCAGGCAGCCAACGTCCTCTCGGAAGCCTGTGGCCTGCAGCGTGGGGACCGTGTGGCAGTGGTGCTGCCCCGAGTACCTGAGTGGGGGCTGGTGGTACTGGGCTGCATTCGAGCAGGTTGGTAACTGACTACCTGGACAGAGAACTGTCTTCCTTGTGAAGAACACTGATAGCAGAGAAATGCAGCCACCTCTCCCAAAGGAACTTCCCTCCTTGAAGCATGCTGTCCTCCCTCATGTGAAGAAAGACATCTCCCTTCTTCCATTCATTTAAGCAAACTATGTGCCAAGCACTTATGCAGGTGAACAACAACAACAGAAACATAGTCTATATATTCATGGGGCTTGCAGACATCTGGAGAAAGCTCTTAAACTATTAATTGCACAGATAAGTATTTAATCACAATTATGATAAGTGCCATGAGAATTCTAGAAAAATCTATAAAAATAAATTTGGCAAACTGTGACCTGCAGGTCAAATCCTGCCCACAGCTTGTCTTTGTAAAGTTTTACTGGAACACAACTATGCCCACCTGTTTCCATATTATACGTGGCCATTTTTGCACTATAGTGTCAACTTGAGTAGTTGGAACAAGAGAGTGTCTGATCCACAAAACCTAAAATATTTACTATTTGGCTTTTTGCAGAAAAAGTTTGCCAATGCCTTGTCTAAAAGGAGACTTGAACTAACCAATGTGAGGAATAACAAAGTCTCAATGGAAGTGATATTTGAGCTGAGATCTGCAGGATGAGTAGGATTTGGCCAAGGGATAGAGAGGGCTGTGCCAAGCAAAGGGAACAGCACATGTGAAGATGTAATCATCTGAAGATTTCTTCTTGCCCACTTCCCAGAAACTCCAAACACTGAAAACAGTAGGAGTTGCAGTAGAGAAGAATCTAATTATTGCATAGACCACTAAGTTGAATGATGAAAGATGTATTTCAAATCCACCTTCCTAGGAAATCAGAGACTAGTGTTTTTCAAAGATGCTTTGGCATTCAGGGGGATAGGAAATAGGAAAGGCTGATTGGTTGGCCGGGGATGAAATCCTGTGTTGGAGCTGTCTTCTTGTGTTGAGTCAACTCCTCAGAGATCACAGAAATGGCTGAGTTAGTTTCTTGGTATCAGTTACTGGTTTGGGTAGTGCAAGCTGGTCCATCAGAATGCAAGGTCTGAAAAACACCTCAAACATTAGTCTTAGGTTTTACCATAATGATGTTATCTATAGGAGAAATTGAGGAGGTTACAAATCTTGTGACCTCTGACTCCATGACTCCTGAACTATAATTCTAGCCTTGTGACCAATTTGTTATTTCTCCAAAGGCAGTTTCAATCTCCAAGCATGGAGGCAGTTAGTTTCAGGAAGGAGCTATTATCATTTTTGTTTTAAAGTTAGTCTATAAGCTGGATTCCTCATATAGTTAGCTTGGACTATGCCCAGGAATGAGCAAAGACAGATAGCTTTTGAGGTTAGAAACACGATTAAGTAGGCCATGTCAGATTGTCCTCGGTGTCATAATTTTGGTAAAGGCAGTTGCAAAGTCACAGGGGAGGGAAGCTTGAAAATTATGAAAGAATCTAAAAGGATATCTGTGTGCCTAAAGTCCAGGCCATAAAAAGAAAGTAGTGGCAATAGAATGAACATGTAAAGATGGCCAAGTGCTAAATTGACAGTGCCTTGTGGGCCATGGTAAGAGTTGTAGACACTTATCCAGTGGTAAATGGGAAATGACTGATGGATTCAGTGACACTCAAACCACTGATGCATTGAGTGACATGATCATCCTCTGTTTGGATAGTCATATTGGATGCTCAATAGAGAATAGGATGAAGAAGGCAATAGTGGGTGGAATTCTCAGATAAGAGATGAAGGGATGATGATGGTTTCAATTTGGTTTTGGTAGTAGAAATGGAGACAAGTAGATTTAATAGACAGTTAGGGGGAAACTAGTGGCAAGGTTTTTCAAGGAAGACGCCAGGGAGAGAGAGAAGTCACAGAGACTTCAGCAAGTGGGTGGATGGTGCTGTCTTTTACTGGTGTGAAGAACACAGATATAGGAAGAGGCACGGGTGTGTTAGGAAGAGATGATAAGTTCAATTTGGGCTTGTTGAGTCCAAGAGGTCCATGTGATGTTCAAAAAGTGACAAGTTGGACTTAAGGGTCCAAAATCTGAGATGAAGATGGAAAATTGAGAATCATCAACCTTTAAATTAAAAGGATGAGAAGTACAGTGGTATAAAAAAGAACCTCAAGAAATTCCAACAGCGTCCTTCAAAAACTGGCCCTTCCCACCTCTGCTTGCACACAGCCTAATCCCAACTAAAAGTCCCACCCACTTGATATTCTGGGGACAATGGGCTGAGCATGAGAGTGAGTAAGGAGGAAGACATAAATGTAGCTAGGAATTCAAAACTACCAGAGGCAACCAAACCAATTGCAGGAACTTGGAAGCTCATGGAAAGAGAGAACAAGCCAGACAGAAAGGTGTCATACTGAGATTATATCCAGAAGGAAAAGAGAACTCAGAGGAAGAAATGTGTTTATTGTTCCATGTCTGACTCAATATGACCATCATGGTAGAGAGACATTTGAGGATATTTACAGGTGTGCAGTGAGAATCCCAAAGTGTTAAGAGTTAGAAGGAAGTGAGCTAAGGTTAAAAGCAATTTAATAGGTGGGGCATGTGGTTTAAGCTTCATAAAAAATGAAAGTGTAGTTACTCTTTTCTCCCTTCCTTCCTTCCTTCCTTCCTTCCTCCCTCCCTCCCTCCCTCTCTCTCTCCCTCATTTCCTTTCCTTCCTTCCTTCCTTCCTTCCTTCCTTCCTTCCTTCCTTCCTCCCTCCCTCCCTCCCTCTCTCTCTCCCTCATTTCCCTTCCTTCCTTCCTTCCTTCCTTCCTTCCTTCCTTCCTTCCTTCCTTCCTTCCTTCCTTCCTTCCCTCCTTCCCTCCCTCCCTCCCTCCCTCCCTCCCTCCCTCCCTCCCTCCCTCCCTCCCTCCTTCCTTCCTTCCTTCCTTCCTTCCTTCCTTCCTTCCTTCCTTCCCTCCCTCCCTCCCTTTCTTTTCTCTCTCTCTCTCTCTCTCTCTCTCTCTCTGTCTCTCTCTCTCGACAGTCTCCCTCTGTAGTCCAGGCTGCAGTGCAGTGGTGCAATTTTGGCTCACTGCAACCTTCACCTCCCAGGTTCAAGCAATTCTCCTGCCTCAGCCTCTTGAGTAGCTGGGATTATAGGTGTGTACCACCATGCCCAGATAATTTTTGTATTTTTAGTAGAGATAAGTTTCGCCACATTGGCTGGGCTGGTCCTAAACTATTGACCTCAAATGATCCACCCTCCTTGGCCTTCCAAGTTGCCAGGATTACAGGAATAAGCCACTGTGCCTGGCCCTAAGTCTAGTTATTCTACAGAAAATTTTAAAAATCAAAGGAATTTCATTAAGATAGTAAATAAGAACAAAAAATAGGAAGGTGATAATCGTGGGGTATAAAAACCTCAGTTATGTGCAATAAGTCTAATTTTTAAAGATAAATTGCATAGCATGCTAACTATAGTTAATAATTGAGTACTGAAAATTTCACTAAGAGTGTAAATTTCTAATTCTCATCACAAAAAATGTTAAATATTTGAGGTGATAGATACATTAATTAGCTTAATTTAATCATCTCACATTGTCTTCAAAATTATAACACCACTTTGTACCCAATAAATATATACAACTCTTTTTTGTATATACACATACATGTAAAACTAAAGGCACACTCATCTAAGAAAAATGCATTTAGTGTCCCAGGGTTGGAGAAATAACCAGGACCTAGAGCTATTGATGTTTCAAGACCACAGACAATTCTAAGTGCCTTTCTTTATGATTCTTTAATTATCATATGAGAGTTTTGAATACAGCAAAGTCCTGTAGAAAATTTGTTTTTTTGAGGAGAGTGGGTGAGGAGAGTTGTATGTATATGTCTTAGACTGTCAACAGTGTGACACTAGCAACTCAGCTTCTTTTCTTTGTCTCAGTAGGGCCCTTTAAGACTCTGACAATCCAGGGAATATCCTAGGTTTCATTCACTCCCTAACCCTTAGTCCCCTTTGTTATTGACACTCTTCCTTGGTCATTACTTCCCCATCTTCTCCTTCCCCACTTGCTCCCTGCTGGACGTTTTTATCAGGCTTCTCTAGGGACAAAGAAAACCATCCTTTCCAATTCTCTAAACTGCTGGCTTCTTTAGGCCTCGTCTTTATGCCTGGGACCATCCAGATGAAATCCGCCGACATCCTGTATAGGCTGCAGATGTCTAAGGCCAAGGCTATTGTGGCTGGGGATGAAGTGGTCCAAGAAGTGGACATGGTGGCATCTAAATGTCCTTCTCTGAGAATTAAGCTACTGGTGTCTGAGAAAAGCTGCGATGGGTGGCTGAACTTCAAGAAACTACTAAAGTGAGTATCTACATGTCTCAGCCTGGGTTTTTAATAAAACTGGAAACAGAGCCAAGCACTTAGGTGCAGGTGTTTTACTGAGGAGGCAAAGGAAGCAGAGCATGGGACTAGGAAAAGTGAAGCTGGGAAGAAACAAGAGCTAATACAAGGGTTTTTAATCAAGTAATTGCAAGAACTAAATGGGGTTTGATCTGCCTGGGCCTTCTGAGCAGCACACAGAATGCCTCCCAGGATTGTCCACTAAGGGACTGACAAGCACTGACCCATCAGCATCTGAGGCCCACAGGCTGAGGGTTGTCCTAAGGGTGTTATTGCCTCCACACTTCTGGGCTGCACACACATGCATGAAGAGTGACTCAGAGTTTCATGCTATGGTAAAACACAGAAACTATGGGGCACAAAGTGAATGGCTTGAGGTGCACACTGGAAACAACATGGTGTTAACACCAAGTGAGTTGAAACCCACACAGAAATATTTACTGCAACTATGACTTAAATCAAGGGTGAGGCCAAAGCCCATGAGGGAAAGCCCAAGAGATGGCAGATATACCAAGTTTCTAGGCTCTTGTCCCTACGTCTGTATCTCTAAGCGAGGCTGATTAAGGGCAGAGGTCTCTCCATATGTCCTTCTGAAGTTGACAACAAGACTGCTTGTACTAATTATTTTCTCTTCACTTATCTGAAATCCTTCTATTAGGGACACATATAACAGGACACTTGAAAGGGTAACTTCAGCTTTTCCTTTCTAATGCCATTGTCTTTAAGGTAGCTGTCATAGAAATAAATAACAAGATGCCTGCTCTTAAAGCTTAAAATCAGGACACTGGAGATGTCCAAGAGACGTGTAGGTGCTTCCAGGGAATAGAGGAGGGTGTCAATAAAGTACTGGGAAAACTCATATTAATTCCATACTTCCTGTGCACTTGGTGTCATGCCAGGGCTCTCCACAACAATTAGATTAGCATTTATTGAGTTCTTGCTAAGCAAATTGCTCATTTCTTTGGTGGTGGAGTTCAATTTCTCAGTAACTCTATAAGACTTGATCTTGCTTTTTGCAGATATAAAGTGAGACTTACAGAAGTTAAATAACTAGTTTAAGGTTGCATTGATAACAAAGTGCTAAACTGTAGTGGTTTTCAAACCAACTCTGATGGACTCAGACTCCCATGATCTTAACTACTCAATAGCCTCCTTCTGAGGTGGGTCGATCAACTTGCCCTTCTCAGCACAACTGGTGGTGAGAAAAGATGGGTCACTGTGACATCGAGTGTCCAGGCTAGATCTGACAAAATGACAATCTGTGTCTCTGTCAGGGAGGCATCCACCATTCATCACTGTGTGGTGACTGAAAGCCAGGAAACATCTGCCATCTTCTTCACTAGTGGGACCAGTGGTCTTCCCAAGATGGCAGAACATTCCCATTCGAGCCTGGGCCTTAAGGCCAAGATGGATGCTGGGTAAGCTGAACTCTTTCTCTCTACAGAAAATTGCATGACCAGGCCTGAAGACTTTTCTGAGTTCAAATCCAATGCTCCTGGGCTGGGCTACCATCTTGTGCTCCTGAGAAAGAAAATTGGGAAGGAAAGCTAAAGAAGACATGGCTTCATCTGTTGGGTATTCAGCCATCTTCAATGGGACATATCTTTTAGATAACACAGGGTCTCAAAACTTCTTCCATGTGTTAAGCCATGTCCCTAGCAGGGTGAATAACTAGAAAAAGGCTTACGTGCGTTTCCCCAGACTGATCTCTATGTTGTTCTTTGGTATGCTGGCAATTTGCTTTGATGCTACCCACATTCCAAAGGGCACTTTTTGTCAGAGGCAAATTACTTGGCAAATTCATTGAAGTGAATGATATAATTGAACGAATTTGTGAATAAAGGTCTCAGGATTTCTGGATCACAGACCTCATAGTTGAGCATTTTTTTTTCACTGCTACATTAATCCTGTTTGTGGAACCAGGAAACACTGTGCCAAGGTCTTCATGCAATGATAACTATAAATCTTCAGGATTTTTTAGTAGATTCCATCTTCCATGTTAATTTTATTATTAGAATGGCGAAGTATTTTAACGTAAAAATTAGAAAGTGTAAATGTTCCTTTTATGAGCCCATAGTGACAGCAAATTAAATAAATTAGTAAAAATTATTCAATAGAAAAGCTACAGTAAAAGACAGTTTCTAAAAGATTGGGGATACATTACTTATATAGAACTAAGATATTAAATTCCCCTCCCCCAAAAAAATTTGGTCTTGATCTCACTTTTCGCAGCTATAAAGTGAGACTTAGAGGTCTTATACTATGATCTAATTTCCCTACAGAGCTGAAAATATTAATCATCTTCAGCAAAGAAGATCTACTATGGCAGTTCTCAGTCACAAGGAGGTTGTTCATGTCTAGCCTAAATCACTCTTACTTTAAGAAAGGCCTGAACCTTTTATTCTGCCCTGAAGAGAAAAAAAGTTACAAGTTCACTTAGTGTAAGACCCTCAGTTGTGTGGGCAATTCACGGTACTTGAAGAAAAGAGAACCAAAGTTCTATTCAGCCAAACTTGAACTTGGCAAGGCATCTGTTAGAATGTTAGTCATGCAGATGCCTTTTGTTAGTAAAAATTTTCTGGGTGGTGACCACATGCATGCCACAAACTGTACTAAGTTTTGGGGTTAAAATGAGAATGAGATCCAATTATATGTTAAGTCATAACAGCTGAGGTCACACCTTCTGAACGTTCATCTCCTGTTGATGCAGGATGTATGGATAGAACAACTTTCCTTCCCCCTTCCTACTTAGAGTTAGACATATGCTTACAAACCTGCAGGCAGATACACACACACCTTTGCAGACACACCGCCCTCACCTCTCCTATACCTTAGCGTCCCACACATCCTAAGGTCAGCACTCACCCACCTATATGTCCATGTGTTTTGTCTGTGTTTTCAGCTGGTCAGGACTGCAAGCCTCTGATGTATTCTGGACCATAGCAGACACAGGCTGGATACTGAACTTCATAGGCTCATTCGAGTCTTGGGCAACAGGAGCATGCGCATTTGTTCATCTTTTGCCAAAGTTTGACCCACTGATTATTCTAAAGGTAAGAGAGGATCCAGTTTGCATCAGTTATTCAGAGTGAGCCCAAGGTTTGCACACTTCAATTTATTGTAGTTTGTTTCAATTCATCTAATTTTTGCTAAACCCTTGCCATGTGGTGAACAGTGTTCAGTAAGCATAAAAAGCAGTGGATACATACTATTTATTACAATATCATCATTAAAAATCATGCTGCAGATTGGTATTAATTGAACTGAAAAGATTGTTACCTAAATTGTCAAATGATAAAAGCAGGTTACAAAATGTTATGTCAAGATTCACCCCTATTTTTGTTTTTAAAGCATATATCCTTGCATACTGTCTAGCTAATTTTAAATCTACTTATAAGCTGGAAGCCCCGCTTCAAGTTGTCCCACCTTTTTGGACCAAACCAATGTATTTTTTAAATATGCTTGATTGAAGTCTCAGGTATCCCTAAAATATATAAAACCAAGATGCACCATGACCATTGAAGGCACATGTTCTCAGGACTTCCTAAGGGCTGTGTCACTGGCCATGGTCACTCATATTTGTCTTAGAATAAATCTCTTCAAGTATTTTACAGAGTTTGACTCTTTTCATTAACAAACTCAATCCCCAATGTAACAGTATTAAGAGGTGGGGACTTTAAGAGATGATTGGGCCTCATGAGGGATTAATGGATTAATGGGTTATCATAGTAGTGGGGTAATTTTGGAGAGTGGGTTGTTACATAAAAAGCCAGTTTTGCTCTATCGTGAGCCCCTTTGCCATATGATGCCCTGAGCCTCCTTGGGACTCTACAGAGTTCCCATCAGCAAGAAGGCTCTCACCAGGTGCAGCTTCTTGACCTTGACCTTGGACTTTCCAGCCCCCAGAACTGCAAGAAATAAATTTCTTTTCTTTATAAATTACTCAGTCCCAGATAAATTACTGTAATAGAGGATTGTCTTAGTCTGTTTTCTGTTGTAGCAAGAGAAAATTATATTTAATAGATTATTGTCTATTATCTACTAATATTCTGCATAAAGAAAAGCATGGGATGGAGATTGTATTATATGACAGTTAGGAATACATGCTGCAAATAAGGATCCCACTGCCCACTGACTAGGTGACCTTGGAGCGGTTACTTAACCTTGTACATCATGGGTTTCCCCACTGTGTCATAAGGATGATAGTACACACTCCATGAGTTTATTGTAAAAATTAAATGAGATAACACAGGACATGGCAAGTATTCAGTACTAGGTCTTTTTGTAGCAGTTGTTTTGAAATGTCTGTAGATGCCTTTAACTTTTCAAAGAACTTTTATATCTAAAATATATCCCAAAAAATATTTTCAGGGAAATAAGGCTGGAAACAATCTGCCTATTACAAAGTTGGTTACAGAAGGTTAAAGGACTTAACCAAGACAGCTGCTGTGCACAAGCAGCTGATCTACTTCCCTTGGTTGCTGGGGGTTGATATACTCCTGGGGTGTGTTAATGAGGGCAAGAACAGACAGCCAAGATTTGACAAAAATGTTTCAAATTAGTCCTAGGCTTTTTCACTACCATAATATGTATTCATTTCCCTGTTATTTGTGTCTTCAGGGTGCATGAAAATTGTGGGGCTCATTTAACCTAAAACAGGCACAGCAAACAAGCTAGGGTTTTAATCCATATCTCTACAACTCCATAGTTCACAATTGTAACCACTGTGCCTAGCCAGAAGTTGGCATCTGACCTGGTGACCAGTGTGTCACCTGGCTCTCTTCTTCCAGACACTGTCCAGCTACCCAGTCAAAACCATGTTGGGTGCCCCCATTGTTTACCGGATGTTGCTTCAGCAGGATCTTTCCAGGTGATGGGGCTTTGAGGGTTGGTAAGAGAGTCTGGCCCCATCCCTCTGATTCCCTCACATACATGCATGCCTATCTGTCTGAATCTCTCACGCAGATAGCCCCATGAAGCCATTTGCATCATCAGAGCACCCAGAACCCAGCTCTAGGCTTGGGTGGACTGTGGTTCCAGGGAGGCTGAGGGGAAACACTTATTTCTCTTCTTCAGTTACAAGTTCCCCCATCTACAGAACTGCTTAACTGGAGGGGACACTCTTCTTCCAGAAATTCTGGGGAACTGGAAGGCCCAGACAGGACTGGACATCCGAGACTGCTACGGCCAGACAGAAACGGTACCTGTTCCCAGGGGAACCTTGGGCTGGGTGCACTTTTTGGGCTTCAGAAGTCTCTTTGACAATAAAAAATGTTAGCCACCATTTATCATTCATTTATTTGAGAAATATTTATTGAGAATCCACGATGGGACAGGCACTGGGTGTTGAAAATTCAGCATAGGACAAAACAGGCAAAGCTCCTGTTTTCTGAGAGATTGAATTCCAGTGGGATCTGGGAAAAGAGACAATAACCTAAGAAATATCTAGCATGGCAGGTGGTGAGAAATGCTACGGAAGTGTAAAGCAGATGAGATAGGGTGAGGAGTGGGTAAATCAGGTATTGTAGTCAGAAAAGTCCTCTGTGATGGGGAAACATTTTATCAGAGACCAAAGTTTATCAAACCTGTCAAGCACTGTACAAAGCTGCTTAGATTGAAGTGAAGAATGGGAAGAAGAGCCCAGCAAGGCTTTACTGCACCTCCTGAGATATCTTCTTGGAACTCTTCAGGTCTCACGCGCACAATATGGATTTATGCTGTTCTATGCTATTTTACTTATCAAAACTACATGGGGGACATTTCCCCAACTCTCTCTCCTTTTCCCAGTGCTTCTTACTTGTGACTCTCAGCACTTCTTTTCTCTCACTCTACACTCTCTTACCCTGCATCCTTCTTTGGCTAATAAGTACCCTTGGAAGAACTCCTGCAGAGAGTTGACAGCAGCTCTGTGCTGTGAAAGAGTCAGGAAGAGCTCTGCAAATATGAATAAGGACAATGGAGTTGTGGCAAGCATACCCTGGTAGGGGTCTCCAGCCATTCAGAGGAGGACATGTTTAGGATATGCTTGCAAGGACACCAACATCTCTGTTGGGGAGGTTTATTTCAGGGCTCAAGCAGAACTGGCACTGCCGTGGGAGATACTCTTAAAAGCCTATTTTACTGCTTGAGGAAATGGATATCCCATTCTCCAGGATGTGATTATTTCACATTGCATGCCCGTATCAAAACATCTCATATATCCCATAAATATATACACTTATGCACCCACAAAAATTAAAAATAAAATTACCACAGTGTCATATCCATAGTGGGTATGGGTATCCATTCCGTCATGTTGAAGTCTGGCTCCCCGTAAAAGCAATTATATAATGTGATTGTTAGGTCCACTTCCTGAACAAACAGTTTAGTGAAGCCCATAGGATTGTGGTTCCAGTAACAGGAAGAGAGCCAGGGAATGTGGAGGGAGGGAGCCACCAAGTGTAGGCCAAGTTCAGGACAGTGTCAGGACCTGCTCTGCAGAAATTTTTGCTTTTTCTGTGACCTTGTTCTTCCTCCTGAGGTTTGCTGATCTGTCTGCTTCTTTCACAGGGACTAACTTGCATCGTTTCGAAGACAATGAAAACCAAACCAGGATACTTGGGAACAGCTATTCCCAATTATGATGTGCAGGTTTGCTCGGGACATTAAGGAGGGAGGAAGTTAGGGGAAACACTGATTTTTCAGTGATTTATTTATTACATTGTGTACTGAGTTAAAAATAATAGGAAGTAATTAAGATAATATAAGAAAAGAGGGAAAAGGAAGGAAGGATAGGGAGAGTGTGCGATAGAATAAAGAAGGAAAAGGGGAAATTATTTATATTTTTACCATCCAGAGAGACCCACTTTGAATATCTAGCAAATTAGCCTGACAGTATGCAAGGATATATGCTTTAAAAACAAAAATGGGGTGAATCTTGACATAACATTTTGTAACCTGCTTTTATCATTTGACAATTTAGGTAATGATCTCTTCAGTTCAACTAATACCAATCTGCAGCATGATTTTTAATGATGATATTGTAGTAAATAGTATGTATCTAACATTTTTTATGCCTTTTATTGGACCAAGGGATGATGTACCAGTTTTCACTATAAAAAAAAAACTATAGTAAATATGTTGTAGCTAAAGTTTTACTGCTTTCTCTTATTGTTTTTCGAGAACTAGAATTTGTGTTTGTGTATCTGTTGTGTGTATAGTTCTATATATCTAAAGTGTAACTCAGACTCTATTCACTATCATATGCAATTATTTGCCACACCATTCACTATGATAACCAGTTGCTAAATCCCTTTCTTAGTATCTTATTTCATTCCTATAAAAATCCTGTGAAATAAGCTGTCAGTATCTCTGTTTTACAAGTAAAAGCACTGAGGCACAGAGTTGAAGTAGCTCGGAGTCAGCTAGTAAGGTAGCAGAGTAAATCTGAGTTTTGAGATTTACTCTGCCTGATTTCTAAGTCCACAGGTGAGGTAGATCTTAAAGGGGAGGCTATTATTTTATCTGAGCCCCTACAGCCAAAATCATCTCCCCAGGTGCGTCTGGGCCAGTTTCAATAAAAGGCTTCACCTAAACCATTCCAGGCAGATGGAGCAGAGATCTGAGTTTAAGACTCTTGGGTTCCCTTGGTTTCTGATTGTTTTGTCTCCAGTAGAGCAAGAGGGTCTTTCATTTGACCAATGCATCAATCTTATGCTGCCATTGAGGCCCTCTCCTGCTCTGTGGATCATTCTTCCAATTTGTTTCTTTCTCCAGGTCATAGATGATAAGGGCAATGTCCTGCCCCCTGGCGAAATAGGAGACATTGGCATCAGGATCAAACCCATCAAGCCTATAGGCATATTCTGTGGCTATGTGGTGAGAAACCTGTGCTCCTCTTCCTCTGTTCCCCAGTGAGGACAGGGAGTGCTAAATGGGGTGAGGGAGGCCAAATGCTCTAAAACTCCCAAGAGGCATTAGGTGTGGAGAGACAAAGAGTGTCCAGTTTTCAAGAATGCATGCTTTGCTAGCGGAAGAAAAGACTGGCTATTTAGCCTTGCCATCCTCAGCCTATCAATGTGATCTCATTGGAAGACTTATTTTTCTTCATTTAGCCCTTAGACTCCTTAAGAACCATTTGCTTCATGCTGAAAATATTATTGACCCTGAACTATACACAGCATCATTTCCCCGAGAGCAGCCTTGCCCTCTCCCTTAGGTGTTATCCCCATGCTCCATGCCATTGATCTTATTTAGAGCCATGCCAGGAACTTTACACTGAAACGTCACCATCTAGTTAGAGGAATCCCTGTCTTCAGATCTTGGGAAGGTAAAGACAGATAATCCTTGAGTCTGGCCACCTCACTTGACAGGTGAGGTTGATAGAGCCCAAGATTACACGTCTCGCTCAAGCTCACAACAATTGGAAAGTGGGCAGAGAAGAACCCAAGGGCATGCCTTCTGACCCTTGAGATATAAACTAAACAAATAGTAAATCAAATAATAGTACTTTCTACCATTTATTGAATGCATACCACAAGGCAAGCATTGTCCTATAAAACATTTACTCTTTAAACTTTAAACTCATTAAAACTTTAAACTCGTTTAATCCTCCCAGCCACCCTATAAAGTTCTGGACTCAGCTTGCTGGGGTTGAAAACCCTGCTCTACTATGTACTGCATGATCTTGGGCAAGTTACTGATCTCTCATGTCTCAGTTTCTTCATCTATAAGTTGTGAGTATGTTAAATAAAAGAATTGTTGTAGATCTGAATATCTGCATTATACAGATGAGAAAAACTGAGCCTCAGAGATCAGGGCAGGGCCACACTGTGCTCTACTCCAAGCATTTCCTGTGCACAGTCCCACTCTATTTCCAAATGCCAGTGAGGTACTAAGTCATGGGCTTCTCCCCATTGGATAGAAAAGGAAATAGACTCAGAGGCATCTGTTTGGCAGACTCCTAAGGCCATAGAGGCTGCATGATGGCCATGAGAAAGTCAAGCCAGTGGCCAAGAAATCTGGCTTCTGGTCTCAGTTCTGGCTTCTGTAACAGCTGTTTAGCTTCAGAAGAGCCTCTTGGTGTCTCTAATCATCAGTGTCCCTCTATTGCCAGCGATGGAGTAGTCCAAAGTCAGCTAGTAAGCTAGCAGAGTAAGTCTGGGTTTTGATCTGCCTAAGAATTCTTTATGACACCACATAATCCAGTAACTGAACTTCCAGTCTGGAGCCCATGCCCCTATACCTGAGTCAGATAGGAAGATACACTGACAAGGGATAAAGCTCAAGCCTTTTCATTACTTATAAGCAAGTGCCTTAGCTGAATAGAGGGACCCAGCCATTGTAGAAATACGCACATTAGCCAGGATCCCTGACACCTCCCGGCTAACGTCTTTAGAACTTTCAGATTTAACAAAGAAGCCAAGAAAAGTACTTAATCAAAATGATAGCTTTGAGTGGTGCTATGAGGTGAGCAGAGATTAGGATATCTATGAAAGGGGAGATGGAATCAGTTGGGGAAAATGCCCTAAGCATAGATGAACAAATACATCAATAATATCCATCAGACTGGACTTAGAGGAGTAGCTGAGAGACCCTGGGTGAAATAACTTCAGTAAATGGGAAAGATCCAGTTCCACCTGTGGCCTAGGATTGGCTGGTTCAGGGCATGTCTGCCATGTTCAAGTTATGTACTTCACACATACAGTTTTAACATTTATGACATCTGTTCATGGCAGCCCCAGGGCAGGGGATTTAGGCTTTGCAGGCACAATGACTCTGTCTTTCTGTGGTCACCAGGACAATCCTGAGAAGACAGCAGCCAACATTCGAGGGGACTTTTGGCTCCTTGGAGACAAGGGAATCAAAGATGAAGATGGATATTTTCAGTTTTTGGGGCGGGCAGATGATATCATTAACTCCAGCGGGTGAGCTTGGTTTCTGGGTTGGGAAGGGAAATCTGGGTCTTTACTCTGCTTGTTCCAGATTTCTGAGATAGCCTAGAGGTTGGATGTCCAGTCTTCTGTAAAAGACACGTTCTTCTGCAGGTACCGGATTGGGCCCTCGGAGGTAGAGAATGCGCTGATGGAGCACCCTGCCGTGGTGGAGACAGCTGTGATCAGCAGCCCAGATCCCATCCGAGGAGAGGTGATGGGGAAGCAGTAGTCTGGGGGTGAACAAATATGAACACAAGGGCAGTGTAGTATGATGGTTTAAGAACAGGGGCTGTGGGGCTGAACACTCTGAATCCCAATTCTTGTCCTGCCACTTACTAGCTATGTGACCTTGGCCAAGCTACTTGGCCTCTCTGTTTCTCAGTTTCCCCATCTGTAAGATGAGAGATTATTATGATGGTTAAATGTGCTCATATTAGTTAATTACTTGATTATGGTGATTTCTCAGAAAACTAAACAGAACTACCATACAATCCAGCAATCCCACTACTGGGTTATCTATCCAAAGGAAAATAAATCAGCATATCAAAAAGATGTCCACACTCTCATGTTAATTGCAGCACTATTCACAATACAAAGATATAGGATCAACCTAGGTATTCAATGGATGAATGGATAAATAATATGTGGTATATGTACACAATGGAATACTATCTGGTATTAAAAAAACTGAAATCATGTCATCTGCAGCAACATGGAGAGAAGCGGAGGTCGTTAATGTCATTATGTTAAGTGAAATAAGCCAGGCACATAAAGATAATCATCACATGTTCTCACTCATAAGTGAGAGCTAAAAAAGTTGATCTCATGGAGATAAAGAGTAGAGGGATAGATATGAAAGGCTGGGAAGGGTGTGTGGGTGGGAAAGAGGGGGATGAAGAGAGGTAGGTGAATGGGTATAAACATACAGTTAAATAGGAGCAATAAGTTTGAATGTTCAATAGCAGAATAGGGTGACTATAGTTAACAACCATGTATTGTATATTTCAAAATCGCTAGAAGAGAGGACTTGAAATGTTCCCAACACATACAAACATAAATTACAAATATAAACACATACACATATAAATACTCGATGTGATGAACACCTCAAGTATCCTAACTTGATAATTACAATATTTACATGTAACAAAATATCACTTGTACCCAATACATATGTACAAATATTATGAGTCAATAAAAGTTTTTAGAAAGTAAAGTGCTTGGAACAAGGCCTAGTACCATCAACAAAATAGACCCTAAAATGTCTATTTTTATGAGGCTGGAAGGTTTCTATCCTGTTGTTTGGTATTTGATTCAGTTTGATTCTTTACCACAGGAACAGAGGAGGGATTTGGGTCAAAAGATAGAGCTCCTGTGCCACAGGGTTCACAGTGGAAAAAAAAAAAAGGGAAAAAGAAAGACCCCTATAAAGCCAGGGTTATAGGATTAGGCTCAGATGGGGTCTAATGGACTTTGATGTGTGTGTAGGAAAAGATGAAGGTGTGATGTGTGTATCAGCATCCTAGTACCTTTCCGCGGGGTGTAAGCCAGGTACTATCATACCTCCAGTAGGCATAGAACACATCACACAGAAAATTATGTGAACCCCTGAGCAGTAAGGCCAAAAGGGGATTCTCTACTGAGAAAACCCTGTGTGGCCAACTCTGGGCTAGCCCTGCCATATATGATTTCATTTTATTTACCATAAGTTAAATATGGTAGTTTTATCCTCATTTTATAGATGGGTACACTGAAGTTTGGAGAAGTTAAACACATTGTTTAAGGTTATGATATTTAGTCTATTTTTCTCTTTTCTCCCCCTCTATCTTCTTTCTTCTCATCTGTCTCTATTATCCTTGGAGTATGAAGCGAGCCTGGTCTCAATCTATTGTCCACCTGCTCATCTGATAAATGAGTTCAGAGAGAGCTGGAACCTCATTCTTGTCCCCAGTTTCTCCCTTTCCCTTGACCTGGATCACTGGAGATGCAAATAAGGAGATACAAGGGGGAATGGAAGTCTTAAAGTCAATTTTACATTATTCCAGGAGATGACTACACACTCTAAGCCCTTCTCTCTTGGCCCTCACCTTTTTTGCAGGTGGTGAAGGCATTTGTGGTCCTGGCCTCGCAGTTCCTGTCCCATGACCCAGAGCAGCTCACCAAGGAGCTGCAGCAGCATGTGAAGTCAGTGACAGCCCCATACAAGTACCCAAGAAAGGTAAGGCCTTTGAGCTCCCCAGTCACTCAAACTTGAGCGAAAGACTGTTTTCCTGTTATAGTTATCTTCCTGAGGAGGAGGACAGCCCTCTAATTTTAAAAAGTCTTCCTGGAGGCAGAGGTTATAGTGAGCCGAGATCGTGTCACTGTACTCCAAGCTGGATGACAGAGTGAGACTCTGTCTCAAAAAAAAAAAAAAAAAGAAAGAAAGAAAGAAAGAAAAAGAAAAGAAAAGAAAAGCAAAAGAATCTTCTTGGGTCAGACACAGTGGCTCACACCTGTAATCCCATCACTTTGAGAGGCCAAGGTGTGGATCACCTGGGGTCAGGAGTTCTAAACCAGCCTGGCCAACATGGTGAAACCCGTCTCTACTAAAATACAAAAATTAGCCAGGCATAGTCATGCATGCCTGTAATCCCAGCTACTCAGGAGGCTGAAGCACAAGAATTGCTTGAACCCTGGAGGTGGAGGTTACAGTGAGCCGAGATCATGCCACTGCACTCCAGCCTGGGTAACAGAGTAAGACTCAGTGTCTCAAAAAAAAAAAAAAAAAAAAAAAAAAAAAAGTCTTCCTGACTATGATCAAGAAAGCCCCAAAAGACAATCTAGCAATCATCTTGATGCCTGAAAAATGACTTCAGTTTTTGACTCACTCTGAATTAAATGCCAAATGCTTTCAAGGGAATAAGTTCTAGCCAATATCTTGCCTGTATTCCCATTCTCTGCACTGCGTTCTTGCTATAGCATTCAGGGTTATGCAATGCTCAGGTGCAAGTGACAGAAATCTAACTCGAGATTTATTGCTCACACAGTTGAAAAGTCTGCGGGTGGGGAAAGCTTTCATTATGGCTGGTTGCAGGCATTCCTAAGATGTGGTCAGGCATATCTATCTCTTTTGCCCTTTGACTCTCCTTCCTTTGTAGTGGCTTGATTTACTGAAATGCTTTTTCTATGTGGCCCCATCAGCTCCAAACATATATTCTTAGAAGCTTAGAAAACTCCAGTAGAAAATGAACATGTTTTCTCCAAAGGCCTCAACAAAAGTCTCTGGGTTGACTCTCACTGGACCAACTTAGGCCATATGCCCATTATTAAATGAATCCTTGTAGCCAGGGCAATGCCACACTGATTGGTCAGTTCCATGTCATCCTCAGAGAAAGTGCAGTGGGGATGGGGGAGAGAGAACTGCCCTACCCCATGACATGGACTGGGAGGGAGGGTGGCTCCCCATAGGAAAAAGAAAGTGTTCTTACAAGAAAAGACAAAAGCATAGTTTTCAGCTGTTTTCATTCTGGGGCACAGAACTGAGGCATGGAGGTTGACATGGCAGGAGAACTCAGTTATTGAATTTGGGTCCCAGATAGGAGCTTGTCCCAGGGAAAGAAAAAAAAATAAGTCTAGAGTAGAAGGTGAGAGCCACCATGCTGAGCTTAGAGTCCCTTAGATTCTTATATAGCCCAGATGGTCACAGATGACCCACCCTGGACTGATTTTCTTTCAACAGATAGAATTTGTCTTGAACCTGCCCAAGAATATCACAGGGAAAATTCAACGAGACAAGCTTCGAGACAAGGAATGGAAGAAGTCCGGACGAGCCCGTGCCCAGTGAAACGTCTAAGAGGCACTCATTTGGATTCCTCGTTTCTTTTTCTTTCTTTTCCCTTTGGGCCCTTGGCCTTCCTGTGACGATATGAGATTCTTTATGAAAGAATATGAATGCAATTTTTGTCTTTCCTTGGTTATTAGCACAAAACATTCCCATGTTAGTTGCTAAAAGAAGAAAGAAAAGGAATGAGAGAGAGTGAAAAGGAGAGTGTAACAGAAAAAGAGGAAAGAAAAATAAGCCAGGGAAATATTAAAAGGGCAAGGGAAAGCAACTGAAAAAAGAAATAAAGTAGGGAGGGTAGGAGAAAGGAAGGAGGAATAAAAGAAAGATGAGATGATGAGGGGGTGGGGCAGAAAAGACAGAAGAAAGAGAATTGGAGGGAGAATCAGAAAAAGCGAAGAAAGGAAAGAAATAAAGAGAGAAAGAAGAATAAAAGAACATAAGAAATAAATAGAATAAAAGAACATAATAAATAAAAGAATAAAAGAACATAAGAAAGAGGGAGATAGGGAGAAAGGAAGAGGAAAATTTAAAAAAAAACAAAAGTAATAAGAGAAACTGATAAAGAAAAATAATAGAAGACAGGAAGAATGGGAGAGAGGTAAGAAAGGAGGGATACTTATAAATACTTCCACAGATAGACAAGACTTGTGTGTGGGGTTGGGACATTAGAATCATCCCCAAGTCATCCCAAAACTTGGGACTGTCAGGATCAGAGAGAAATCACCATTTATTAAGCATTTGCCATGTGCCAGGCACTAACCCAGACACATTATAAATACCACATTGTTTCACCTCTGTGTGGCATCTACAGACCTCAGATCATAACTGTGAGAACAACACAAGCACTTTCAAAGTTATCAGCTACCCATAGCTCATGTTTTTGATGCCATTTACTCTTCCTAGAATCAAATAATAATTTTAAAACCAAGATCCTGACAATAGTCTTTGGGAGAAACAAAGAAAGGCAGGGATGAGGTAAGGGTATGCTTCCAATGGGCTGTGAGTTGGGGCATCCATGGAGAGAGACTGGGTAGGTGATGCTATTGAAAAACAACCAGCACCTCAATTTCTGGGACTTCTGGGACACCAGATCTATGGTCCAGGAGATGGAGAGAGCTGAGTACTATGAAGACTTCACAACCCAGAGATGGAAGATGAATGTTCTTAGCACTTTTAAGTAAATAGAAGATGAAGTAAAGGTTATCTGAGAGCCCCTGACTCTTCTTCTTAAGAATACTTAGTAATAATAACAACAATAGTATTAATAATATTGATCACTCATCAAGCACTTGCCAAGATTCAGGCACCATGCCAAGCAAATGCACATATTGATTCTACTTAAGGTTTACTTTGGTTCAGGCACTATTATATTTCCCATTTTACAAAAAAGGAAAGTAAGACTTAGATTAAATGACAGATTCTAACACAGGCCAAACTGCATACAACACCAATGCCTTCAATTTCTTTCTTTTTTTTTTTTTCTGAGATGGAGTTTCACTCTTATTACCCAGGCTGGAGAGCAATGGCGCGATCTCAGCTCACCGCAACCTCTGCCTCCTGGGTTCAGTCAATTCTCCTGCCTTAGCCTCCCGAATAGCTGGGATTACAGGCACGCGCCACCATGCCCAGCTAACTTTTTGTAATTTTTAGTAGAGACGGGGTTTCACCATGGTGACCAGGATGGTCTTGATCTCTTGACCTCGTGATCCACCCACCTCAGCCTCCCAAAGTGCTGGGATTACAGGCTTGAGCCACTGCGCCCGGCCCAATGCCTTCAATTTCTATACTTACTCCATCAATTTGTTTGTCTTGGCTTCTAGACCTTGACAAAGCCCCTCTCTCAGTCTGCACTTGTTAGGGTTCTCCAGAAAAACAGAACTAATATACACATATATGTACTCCACAACATAGGATAGAGCTATATTCTGATAAACCTATCGTAATGTTAAAAAATTTTAAGTTGAGACGGATCCAAGATGGCTGATTAGGAGCAGCTCAGGATTGCAGCTCCCAGCAAAAGTACAGAGGGTGAGTGGACACCACATTTCCACACAGATTTTTATTGCCCACAGGCAAGGAGATTCCCAGGTGGAGGAGCCCCATGGGTCACCAGCACAGCTGTTTTGGCAGGCGTGGCACATCTTTGCACAAAATACATGGGTCCAGGCACCATTTTAGCTGGTGATTGGAGCTCCTGGGAGACAGAGTTGCCCGTTCAACTGATAAAAAAGGGGACTGAAACAAGGAGCCAGGCCAAGAGATTCCCAGGCAAAAAGCACCACAAATCTCAGCATGGCTGTTTCAGCTGGTGTAGTGGGTCACCACATCGGAAATCACACAGATCCCAGCACCGTTTCAACAGGCAACTGGAACACCTGGGAGACAGAGTCACCCGTTCAACTGAAAAAAAAAAAGCGGGGGTTCGGAGGCAGGGAGCCAGGTGATCAGGCTCGGCTGGTCCCACCCCCACAAAAAACACAGCAATCTGAAATGCTCTGGATTGAGAGTTTCACAGCAAGCACAGCTGAACCCAGGACCATCCAGCTCTATGGGGGAGGGGCGTCCACCATTACCGAGGCATTCCACCACTATGGAGGTAGTCCGCCATTGCCAAGGCAGCCCACCATTAGAGAGAGTCTGCCATTACAGAGGTGGGCTGCCATTGCTGAGGCAGTTCTCACTATACCTGTATAAACAGGACTGCAGGGAAGTTCACACAGCAGCTGGGTGAATCCCACAGCAGCTCAGCAAAGCCTCTGCAGGCAGACTGTGACTAGGCTGCCTCCTTGCGGAGCAGGGCGGCCCTGAAAAAAGGCAGCAGCATGACAGAAACTTATAAATAAAGCCCTAAATCCTCAGGACAGAGCAGCTGGGGGGAAAAAAAGGCGTTTATGAGTTCTGCTGCAGCAGACTTAAACATACCTGCCCAGCAGCTCTGAATGAACAATGGAGTTCACAGCTCAGCACTTGAGCTCCTATAAAGGACAGACTGTCTCCTGAAGCAGCTCCCTGACCCCCGTATATCCAAAGAGTCACCTCAGAAAGGAGAGCTCAGACTGACATCTGGCAGGTATCCTTCTGGGACAAAGATAGCAGAAGAAGAAACTTGCAGCAACCCTTAGTGTTCTGCAGCCACTGCAGGTGATCCCCAGGCAAGCAGAGCCTGGAGTGGACCTCAGCAGTCCTACAGCAGAGGGGCCTGACTGTTAGAAGGAAAACTAAGAAACAGAAAGAAATAACTTCATTATCAACAAACTGGACATCCACTCAGAGACCCAATCTGAAAGTCAACAACTACAAAGACAACAGGTGAATAAATCCACAAAGATGGAAAGAAACCAGCACAAAAAGGATGAAAACACCCAAAACCAGAATGCCTCTCCACCTACAAGGGATCACAACTCCTCACCAGCAAGGGAACAAGGCTGGATGAAGAATGAGTGTGATGAACTGACAGAAAAAGGCTTCAGAAGGTGGGTAATAAGAAACGTCTCTGAGCTAAAAAAACATGTTCTAATCCAATACAAAGAAACTAAGAACCTTGAAAAAAGATTTGACAAAATGCTAATGAAAATAAACAGCTTAGAGAAGAATATGAACGAATTGATGTAGCTGAAAAACACAACACGAGAACTTCGTGACGCATACACATTTCAATAGCTGAATTGACCAAGCAGAAGACAGGATATCAGAGGATGAAGATAAACTCAATGAAATAAAATGAGAAGGCAGATTAGAGAAAAATGGTAAAAAGGAATGAACAAAGTCTCCAAGAAATATGGGACTATGGGCCGGGTGCGGCGGCTCAAGCCTGTAATCCCAGCACTTTGGGAGGTTGAGGCGGGTGGATCACGAGGTCAACATATCAAGACCATCCTGGTCAACATGGTGAAACCCCATCTCTACTAAAGATACAAAAAATTAGCTGGGCATGGTGATGCGTGCCTGTAATCCCAGCTACTCAGGAGGCTGAGGCAGGAGAATTGCCTGAACCCAGGAGGCAGAGGCTGTGGTGAGCTGAGATCACGCCATTGCACTCCAGCCTGGGTAACAAGAGCGAAACTCCATCTCAAAAAAAAAAATGGGACTATGTGAAAATACCTAATCTACATTTAATAGGTGGACCTGAATGTGATGGAGAGAATGAATCCAAGCTGGAAAATACTCATCAGGATATTATCCAGGAAAACTTCCCCAACCTAGCAAGGCAGGCCAATATTAAGTCCAGGAAATACAGAGAACACCACAAAGATATTCCTCAAGAAGAGCAACATCAAGGCACATAATCATGAGATTCATCAGGGTTGAAATGAAGCAGAAAACACTAAGAACAGCCAGAGAGAAAGGTCAGGTTACCCATAAAGGGAAGCCCATCAGACTCACAGCAGATCTCTCGGCAGAAACCCTACAAGCCAGCAGAGAGTGGGGGCCAATATTCAACATCCTTAAAGAAAAGAACTTTCAACCCAGAATTTCATATCCAGCCAAACTAAGCTTCATAAGTGAAGGAGAAACACAATCCTTTACAAACAAGAAATTACTCAGAGATTTCATTACCACCAGGCCTGCTTTACAAGAGCTCCTGAAAGAAGCACTAAACATAGAAAGGAACAACCAGTACCAGCCATTCCAAAAACATACCAAATGCTAAAGAGCATTGACACAATGAAGAAACTGCATTAACTAATGGGCAAAACAGCCAGCTAGCATCAAAATGGCAGTATCAAATTCACACATAACAATATTAACCCTAAATGTAAATGGGCTAAATGTCCCAATCAAAAGACACAGACTGGCAAATTGGATAAAAAGCCAAAACCCATTGGCGTGCTGTACCCAGGAAACCCATCTCACCTGCAAGGATTCACAAAGGCTCAAAATAAAGGAATGGAGGAAGATTTACCAAGCAAATGGAGAGCAAAAAAAAGGAGGAGTTGCAATTCTCGTCTCTGATAAAATAGACTTTAAAACAACAAAGATCAAAAGAGACAAAGAAGGACATTACATAATGATAAAAGGATCAACGCAACAAGAAGAACTAACTATCCTAAATATATACGCACCTAATACAGGAGCACACAGATACATAAACAAGTTCTTAATGACTTACAAAGAGACTTAGACTCCCACACAATAATAGTGAGAGACTTTAACACCCCATTGTCAATATTAGACAGATCAATGAGACAGAAAATTAACGAGGATATCCAAGACTTGAACTCAGACCTGGACCAAGCAAACCTAACAGACATTTACAAAATTCTCTACCCCAAATCCACAGAATATACATTCCTCTCAGCACCATATCACACCTACTCTAAAATTGAACACATAATTGGAAGTAAATCACTCCTCAGCAAATGCAAAAGAACAGAAATCATAACAAACAGTCTCTCAGACTACAGTGCAATCAAGTTAGAACTCAGAATTTGGAAACTAACTCAGAACCACACAGCTTCAAGGAAACTAAACACTGGCTCTTCAATGTTGATTGGATAAACAATGAAATGAAGGCAGAAATAAAGATGTTCTTCAAAATCAACGAGAATGAAGACACAACATACCAGAATCTCTGAGACACATTTAAAGCAGTGTCTAGAGGAAGTATATAGCAATAAATGGCCACATGGGAAGCAAGGAAAAGTCTAAAATCGACACCCTATCGTCAAAATTGAAAGAGCTAGAGGAGCAAGATAAAAAAAACTCAAAACCTAGCAGAAGACAAGAAATAACTAAGATCAGAGCAGAACTGAAGGAGATAGAGACATAAAAAACCCTTCAAAAAACCAACAAATCCAGGAGCTGGTTTTTCAAAAAGATCAACAAAATAGACCACTAGCCAGATTAATAAAAAGAAAAAGAGAAAATAATCAAATAGATGCAATAAAAAAAAACAATAAAGGGGATATCACCACAGATTCCACAGAA